CCACCTCCACTACGAACGGTAGTGATGGATCGGAATGGGCCAGTACTGGGGCTGAGGTGAACAGAACCCTCAGGTTACTGAAGGCCCTGTCAGCCTCAACAGTCCACCCTTCAACAGAGATGTGATGGGAGCTGCGACCTTGCCAAAGCCCCGGATAAACCTCCGATAGTAGTTGGCAAAGCCAATAAAGCGCTGCACCTCCTCAACCGTGGATGGAGTTGGCCAATTACGCACGGCTGAAATGTGATCTCCCTCCATCTCCACACCTGAGGTGGTAATGCAGTATCCGAGGAAGGAGACGGACTGTTGGAAAAACAGACACTTTTCTGCATTGGCATAAAGGTAATGTTCCAACAGTCGGGCCAGAACTTTGCGAACCAGGGACACATGCTCGGCGCGTGTAGCGGAATACACCAGAATGTCATCGATCTAGACCACTACACCGCGACCAAGCATGTCCCGAAACGCCTCATTCACAAAGGGACTGGAAGGCTGATGGAGAATTCATCAAACCGTACGGCATCACCAGGTATTCGTAATGCCCCGTGGTTGTGCTGAATGTTGTCTTCCACTCGTCCCCCTTTCGGACACGCACCAGGTTGTACGCACTCCGGAGATCTAATTTTGTGAAGAAGCGCGCCCCATGCATTGACTCGATCACAGATGGAATGAGGGGTAGAGGATAACTATAACGTATTGTCCCCTTGTTCAGTGCTCGGTAATCAATGCAAGGGCGCAGACCTCCGTCTTTCTTCTTCACATAAAATAAACTCGAGGAGGCGGGTGAAGTGGAGGGACGTATGAACCCCTGACGCATGTCTCCATCGCCTCCGTTTCAGCCTGCGACAGGGGATACACATGACTCCTGGTAGGCACAGCGTCTACCCGGAGGGTTTATCACGCAATCCCCCGCCAGATGAGGTGGTAATTTGGTCGCCTGCGTTTTGGAAAAATGTGTGTGCCAAATCGAGGTATTCGGGGGAAATGCGCACGGTGGCGGTAGTGTCTGGACATTTTCCTAGTCATATTAGCAACCAATGATAGTTGTTGCAACTTTAGATGTCCCCTCTTTCTACATTCCTAATGGATATTTCCACCTTTGTCCATGAAACCACTTGCAGGTGCATTTTAGAAAGGTGTTTTCCCACAAATTGCGTTTTGGAACATTTGCAGATAGACCTATGGCCTTGTGCACATTGCTGCGCCAAAAATTTGAAGAAATAATATTTAACATTTTAAGCTAAACATTCTGATCTGTTCAAGCAGCCTTATTAGTTGATATGGTGTTATGCATCGGGGGATTAAAGCTAAGTAACATAATACAAAAATCCCCATCAAAATCCTCCAATTAAAACTAGATATCGTTTTTTTGCATGGGCTGCATCTCAATCCACCACAACCGCCTATGGCGTCCTTCCGCATCTGCGGTGGAAGGTGGCTGAGCTACAGTGGTGTTTGTCAGACCATGAGACATCCTGACCACTCTATGGAAAGGGGAGAGTCTCACGAACACAATGGTGTTCTCCGTTTTACTCTACGTGTCACGTTCGTTTAAGGACCGGTCAGACCAAGGCGCAGCGTGAAATGCGTACATGTTTATTTAAATGATAAACACACGACAAACCAACGAAACGTGAAGCCCTAAGGCTACACACAAAACAAGGCTACTCACGAAACAAGATCCCACAACTAACTAGTCCTAAGTATGATCCACAATCAGAGACAACGAGCGACACCTGTCTCTGATTGGGAATCACACCCGGCTAAACATAGATCTACAACACCTAGACTGCAACATAGAAAACACAACATAGAATATTCCCACCCTGACTCAACATATAAGAGTCCCCTGAGTCAGGGCGTGACACTACGACTCTTCTGAAGGTAACCGGTACAGGTTAAAAAAATAAAAATAATATATATATATATATATATATTTCCTGAGCTTTCTTACAGTATATCTTCTAGATATAGGACAGACACTTCAAAACCTTTTTCCTTATGATTTATTTTTTGACTGTCTTTTTTGCCATTTATGAATGTGTTATTCAATGCGTTTCTATGGGCTATAGTAGTAAAGGCCAAATTCAATATTTGATCAAATAATTGTTTTATATATATATTTTTTATACCTAAAGGGGTCCTAAAACATTCAAAAATAAAATACAAAATCAAATAGCTAAATTACCATCTTAAAGCAATTCCATATGTCAGCTTAGAACCCACCCCAATGGCTTAGACTCTTAAGAAACAAGCAATGCCCACTGAAAAACAAGTTGGTATACCAATACCCTCCACCACACTACTGCATAATGTCGCGTTCACATCTAGTCAGAAATAGGAGACTGAAATTTCAGACTTGCTAACTGGTTGTAGTTAATCACGTGCCGCGTTCAACAAATCAGCAAATCAAAAATGTCAGCGTTTCCTAGCTCGTGAACACGGCATAAAACCCAGCACTGAAACAAAATGTAGGCTGTAAAGAATTTGCACGTCATCTCATAGGAAGACACATGACTCAGGGAAAATCTGAAGTCTAACATTCGGATATGGCACTTCAAGCCCTAATATCTCATACTTTGACTAAAACGATGACTTATTGATTTACATCTTTGTGCAACATCATGGGTAAACTCTGGCTATCTTCTTTCAGCTCGAAAAAGTGGATTTCTACTGGTGTGGGCATTTAAAGGCCCAGCGAGTCAAAATTGTATCAGCTGATGAAACGAACACTAAGTGTGCAAAAAAATGTGTTGTGTCATTTCCTGATAGTTGCTGGTTGAAAAAGCAATCTACACAGGACCTTCAAATCAGCGGGGTTGCATGGGTGGGAGTGTCAGCTTTCGATGGTGATATCAACATGCAGTAAATTGGTTAATAGACCAATAACAAAGAGAGTTCCAAAACTCTGCCAATAACAACTAGTTTTCCCCTCCCTACCAAGACAATAGCTAGGTTTCCATACAATTGGAGACACATTTTCATGCGAATATTCAAAAATACGCATAAAGAAAATATGCACATTTTCCCAACAGTGGTGTCTTTCCAGCAAGCTGACCTGTTGTGGATAGAAATCGGCGCGTGATGACGTAGTGCACACAAAATGTACTTTTTTTGCATACGTTTTCATGTACTGAATAAAAATCGAAAGTTTGTGTTTCCATCGCATTTTCAACTTTTCATCTCTACCGATAGTTTTGCCACAAAAACTGTTGCGTTAAATAGCAAATGTGCCTACTCTGGTCTTGGCACATGCGCTCTAGCCAACAGCTTGCAGATACAGTGTGGGTAGGCTGTGCAGGTGAACTAGTCTACATGAGAATATTTTTATTGTCAAACAGTAGTCAAGCATCAACCATAATGCCACCAGAATAAGACCCTCGATATTTACGAACAAATTATGGCAGCATTTATAAAATTGTACCGAAACGTCCTGTTTCCATCACAGCTGTCGTGATTTGTTTTTATACGTTATGACTTACTCGCATAAAAACTGGATGGAAACTTGGTTAGTCCTAGCAAAGTTCTTGCTTGACAATTATTTTTTGGCTAAAGAGCTATTTCTTTCAACAATTTTAATGGAAATCTATTACAGTAATATTATATATATATTTAAACAGCTGCATTGGGCCTTTAACTAGTCTAGATCCACTTGTAGGTTCTTGTGATTCAGCTATATGCCTCAATCCCAGATGAATGAGAGATATTGCACCATCTTGAATGATGAAGTCCCATTTTTCCCATTCATTTGGAATTACAGGATTTAGCTGGATCTTCACAACTGAAGATGGGACGTGGACTCTTATCTAAATTAGGCAATTCATTCTGGAGTGAACCATCACTTTACCCTGTACACATATTTATTCACATAAGTGAGCTTTTAATGACGCATTCAAGTGCTAGTCGGAAGTAGGAAACTCAAACGTTAGACTTGCTAACTGGTTGAACGCAGCACGTGTAACTGCAAACAGTTAGCAAGTCGAACAATTTCTGAGTTTCCTAGTTCCGAATAGCACATGAACGCGGCATGAGTCCAACAACAAGACTCAGAGTGATTTGTAAGGTTTTTAATTAGAGGTGACTATTTACATCTAAACAGAAAGTCAGTTACTAAAATTCCACATTTCATAAAACCAAGTAAAACAGGTACACTTTAATATTTCCATTGTTGTAGTGTTTAATCATACAGTAATATTTAGTGCTTAAAAAAATAGCAACCTATAATACTTTATTATATTTAACATTTATTTTCAAATAATAAGGAAGAAAAATATATACACAACAGTAACCTAAATGCATCTGTACAGCAAAGGACCCTGTAATCTACTGACCAGAAGACAACGCATGATACATTTCTCCAGATAAAAAAGTATGTTCCTGCCGAAATGATTCCCTGTCAACCGTAAAATCCACTAATTGTGTTGTTTTCATGTTTGATTATGGTAACTGCACTTTGATACATTCTGTAAAGATTTATAAGTTTAACTTTTGTTCTATTTAAGATGCCATCATCATGATCTTTGCATTTTAAAAACAGCTATCAATTGCAGAATTGCATGGTTTGACCTATGTAGAGAAGTACAAAAAAATCAAATAAAAAAGCATAAATAAAAAATTTAAAATGTGTTGATTCAATAATTGCACTGTGTGTTGGCTCATGCAGCGAATTGAAGAAATCTGCGATATGAAAAACCATCATTATACTGTCACAGCATGGAGATCAGTGTCTGGCCCAAAAAATTAAATTAAAGAATAGCACACCAACTACCTCCTCATTGTTTTCTTTCCTATGACTAGTTAAAGCTCAAATGCTCACCCCACATCACAACCAAATACAAATACAGGCAAGGCAGGCTAGCGGTTAAGAACGTTGGGCCAGTAACCGAAAGGTCGCTGGTTTGAATCCCCTAGCCGACTAGGTGAAAAATCTGTTGAAGTGCCCTTGAGCAAGGCACTTAACCCTAACTGCTCCTGTAAGTTGCTCTGGATAAGAGCGTCTGCTAAATGACTAAAATGTACAAATGCACACTATAAAACAGGTTCAAATAAAAGCGGTAATTTCTGATGTGATCAAAATATTATGCATTACAGTTGTCATTATTAGAACTCTCCAAAGTTTCAGTCTAAGAAATCACAGCAAGTACACAATTATCCCAGAGCTTTTCCAGTCTTGGGAATGGCAAATCCCACAGTTGTCTTCCTCCTCGTCCTCTTTCTGCAGCTTCAAGTCTCTAACATTTATTATTACTGTGTTTATTATTGTAGCCGTCATTATTATGACTATTATTACTGTAATGTTATTGCATTTACATCTCTGCAACATGGGTTAACTGTGCCATACAGAGTAAAAGCAGAAAAAAAAGGCAACATCGAAAGAGGCGGCAAAAGGTCGTTGTCAGTGGAACCAAGTCCCTGAGGGATAACACACATTGGCAGAGTGTCTCCCAGTCAGTCCGATCGGTCAAGCCCCTCTGCCACCTCTCCACTTTGTTGGCACTTGGCTCCCCCTACTGTCCGGGAGAAATACTGCATCTGGTCCTCAGTCCCCCTGTTTTCAGTTCAGTCTATTCCCGGGCCTTCCTTGATGATCTGTACAGTACATTCAGCAACATAAAAAGGCAGTCTGTTTAGGGAGCACCAAGACCCCGCAACTCCTCTCCAGAGACTCTGCCGGCCGCTGGTTAAGTACGTGCTTTCCAGTATGGGGTGGATGCTAAGGCCGGTGGAACCTAAAGAAAGGGACATCAAATATAATTTGATCAATCACAACAACTCAACATCTGAAAAAGGTATTTTCCGTCTGTAAGAGCCGCCAATTAAAGGGACCGAAACAAATGTATTGGTATGTTAATTCAAGATCTATATTATGTAATGGTGTATATAACTTCATGTTGTCCATAGGCTGAGGAAGTACCTTGTATAGATCCTACTGTCTTCATGAACCTCCATTTCAGAGCTCTTAAAGTCATTGAGCTCCTTCCGAATGGCAGCCTGGACGAAGGAGGGAAAGTTAACTGTATCAAGTCGCATAAGACAGCATCTAAATGCTAAAGTAAACACAGAAATATATACTTCCTTTACTGGTCAATAAGATATACTGGTGTCAATAAATAAGTGCATTACAAGCCGTGATTTAGGGAGCTATGAGTGACAGCTGATTGTACCTTGTCGGCGGGTGTTAGCTTGGTCCAGGGCTTGTCCGCACGCCGATCGTAGTCATTGGCTGTGGTGACCTCCACATACTCGTGGAAGCGCAGGATCTTTCTGGCCTGTAGCTCAGCAACCGTGGGCCTCTGACTCAGCTAGAGGAGGAGTTAAATACAGAGTTTAAATGGATACTTTGAGATTTTGGCAATGAGGCCCTTTATCTACTTCCCCAGAGTCAGATCAATGTGAATACCATTTGTATGTCTCTGTGTTCAGTATGAAGGAAGTTAGAGGTAGTTTTGCGAGCCAAATTGGTATTCACAAGTTCATCTGAATCTGGGGAAGTAGATAAAGGGCCTCATTGCCAGTATCCCTTGAAGAGGACTACCTTCTATCTTCTCTCAGCTCGTCTTATAACAATTCACTCTAGTTAATCCTCTGTATGTAAATGTTCTGTTAAATGAGAGAACTAGCTTATAACAGTTAACAGTAGTGAGTGTGTGTGTCACTGGTCTTACCTTCCTGGTGAGCCTACGTTTGATCTCTCGGACCTCCGCCTGCCTGTCTACCTGGTTCTTGGCTGGAAAGGAGAGAGAGAGTCAAACCAACATTTAGAACCCTGTGCAGACATTCACCAAATTGTGCAATTGTTGTCCATTTCACAAAAATTTGATTTTCCAATGGGATTTAATAAAGGTACTAGGTACAAATACAAAAGTACACCGATTGAGAAATGTGTTTTCCTAATCCACATTGATAAGAAGTGGCATCATGCTCTTGGAATATGGCCTCATTTATATAAATAACAAGAATCATTACTGAGAGAGAAATACCAGTGGGGATTGAGCAGTGATTAGGTGAAAACCTAGGTCCCATTCCAATTCCATAAAAGTGCATTATTCCTTCCTCCCTTCCTTGAAGTTATCCCTGATCAGACGTGATCGGACAGGTGAAGGCAAGGGCTCCACGCCTCCACCACAAAGCTTTCACCTGTCGCTTCATTCCCATACTCAGGGAAGGAAAAATTGTGATGGAGAGTTGGAAAGACTTACGTTGAAGGATGTTTCTCTGCTCCAGCTCCTCTGCACTGGGTCTCTGGCTGAGACGCCTAGAGGATAGAAGTTAGAACATCAGCATCACATCAACCTTGTGTTAGATTTGGTGTGTATATGTGGAGAGAGAGAAGAGAGGGAGAAGAGAGAGAAGAGAGGGAGAAAAGAGGAAAGAGCGAAAGAAAATGATAGTGAGACTGTGTGTATGTGGCTTTATCTATTACCTTGTGAGTGCAGAGCCTATTTGTGTGCGTATGGCCTCCCATTGCTCCCTGCTCTGCCACGTCAGCCCTGTTGACCCTTGGTGTGTGTGTCCCGGAGTGCGTCCTCCCGTGTGACCGCTGGACTTGTCCTCCCGAGCATCTTTCTCTGGGGCATTTCGGTTACTCAGTTTCAAAGCTAACGTGTCTTTCCTTCTGACCCTGCTGGCCAAAGCACCTGAACAAGAACCACAGAGAGATGTAGTCAGGTATACAAAGATACATACAGTGAGGGAAAAAAGTATTTGATCCCCTGCTGATTTTGTACGTTTGCCCACTGACAAAGACATGATCAGTCTATAATTTTAATGGTAGGTTTATTTGAACAGTGAGAGAAAGAATAACAACAAAAAAATCGACAAAAACGCATGTCAAAAATGTTATAAATTGATTTGCATTTTAATGAGGGAAATAAGTATTTGACCCCTCTGCAAAACATGACTTAGTACTTGGTGGCAAAACCCTTGTTGGCAATCACAGAGGTCAGACGTTTCTTGTAGTTGGCCACCAGGTTTGCACACATCTCAGGAGGCATTTTGTTCCACTCTTCTTTGCAGATCTTCTCCAAGTCATTAAGGTTTCGAGGCTGACGTTTGGCAACTCGAACCTTCAGCTCCCTCCACAGATTTTCTATGGGATTAAGGTCTGGAGACTGGCTAGGCCACTCCAGAACCTTAATGTGCTTCTTCTTCAGCCACTCCTTTGTTGCCTTGGCCGTGTGTTTTGGGTCATTGTCATGCTGGAATACCCATCCATGACCCATTTTCAATGCCCTGCCTGAGGGAAAGAGGTTCTCACCCAAGATTTGACGGTACATGGCCCCGTCCATCGTCCCTTTGATGCGGTGAAGTTGTCCTGTCCCCTTAGCAGAAAAACACCCCCAAAGCATAATGTTTCCACCTCCATGTTTGACGGTGGGGATGGTGTTCTTGGGGTCATAGGCAGCATTCCTCCTCCTCCAAACACGGCGAGTTGAGTTGATGCCAAAGAGCTCGATTTTGGTCTCATCTGACCACAACACTTTCACCCAGTTCTCCTCTGAATCATTCAGATGTTCATTGGCAAACTTAAGACGGCCCTGTATATGTGCTTTCTTGAGCAGGGGGACCTTGCGGGCGCTGCAGGATTTCAGTCCTTCACGGCGTAGTGTGTTACCAATTGTTTTCTTGGTGACTATGGTCCCAGCTGCCTTGAGATCATTGACAAGATCCTCCCGTGTAGTTCTGGGCTGATTCCTCACCGTTCTCATGATCATTGCAACTCCACAAGGTGAGATCTTGCATGGAGCCCCAGGCCGAGGGAGATTGACAGTTCTTTTGTGTTTCTTCCATTTGCGAATAATCGCACCAACTGTTGTCACCTTCTCACCAAGCTGCGATGGTCTTTTAGCCCATTCCAGCCTTGTGTAAGTCTACAATATTGTCCCTGACATCCTTGGAGAGCACTTTGGACTTGGCCATGGTGGAGAGTTTGGAATCTGATTGATTGATTGCTTCTGTGTACAGGTGTCTTTTATACAGGTAACAAGCTGAGATTAGGAGCACTCCATTTAAGAGTGTGCTCCTAATCTCAGCTCGTTACCTGTATAAAAGACACCTGGGAGCCAGAAATCTTTCTGATTGAGAGGGGGTCAAATACTTATTTCTCTCATTAAAATGGAAAACATTTTGTGTTTTTCTAGATTTTTTTGTTGTTATTCTGTCTCTCACTGTTCAAATAAACCTACCATTAAAATTATAGACTGATCATATCTTTGTCAGTGGGCAAACGTACAAAATCAGCAGGGGATCAAATACTTTTTTCCCTCACTGTAGGTATCCTGTGTGGCTCAATTGGTAAGAGTGCAGCTCTAGCAACGGCAAATCGGGGGTAAATTCCCGCAGGGATAATAATCACATACAAAGGTTGTATGCACTCTACTGTAAGTCACGTCTGCTAGGTGGCATATTTACTTTAACAGTATTTTTAAGAAGCTGCCACTGTATCATATGTATATACTGTATTCTATACTATTCTACTGTATCTTAGTCTATGCCGCTCTGACATTGCTGGTCCATATAAACTCAGCAAAAAAAGAAACGTCCTCTCACTGTCAACTGCGTTTACTTTCAGCAAACTTAACATGTGTAAATATTTGTATGAACATAACAAGATTCAACAACTGAGACATAAACTGAACAAGTTCCACAGACACGTGACTAACAGAAATTGAATAATGTGTCCCTGAACAAAGGGGGGGGGGGGTCAAAATCAAAAGTAACTGTCAGTATCTGTTGTGGCCACCAGCTGCATTAAGTACTGCAGTGTATCTCCTGCTCATGGACTGCACCAGACTTGCCAGTTATTGCTGTGAGATGTTACCCCACTGTTCCATCAAGGCACCTTCAAGTTCCTGGACATTTCTGGGGGGAATGGCCCTAGCCCTCACCCTCCGATCCAACAGGTCCAAGACGTGCTCAATGGGATTGAGATCCGGGCTCTTCGCTGGCCATGACAGAACACTGACATTCCTGTCTTGCAGGAAATCACGCACAGAACGAGCAGTATGGCTGGTGGCATTGTCATGCTGGAGGGTCATGTCAGGATGAGCCTGCAGGAAGGGTACCAAGAGGGAGGAGAATGTGTTCCCTGTAACGCACAGCGTTGAGATTGCCTACAATGACAACAAGCTCAGTCTGATGATGCTGTGACACACCGCCCCAGACCATGACGGACCCTCCACCTCCCAATCGATCCCGCTCCAGAGTACAGGCCTCGGCTTGAACGCTCATTCCTCAACGATAAACGCGATCCGACATATCCTTTTTGGTGAGACAAAAACCGCCCACTCGTCAGTGAAGATAACTTTTGCCAGTCCTGTCTGGTCCCGCGATGGTAGGCGACGTTTTTGCCGGTGATGTCTGCGTGAGGGACAGGCCTTACAACAGGCTACAAGACCTCAGTCCGCATCTTCGCTATTGGGACAGTCTGAGCACTGATGGAGGGATTGTGCGTTCCCTGGGAAACCGGGCAGTTGTTGTTGCCATCCTGTACCTGTCCACAGGTGTGCTGTCGGATGTACCGTGGGTGTTACATTTACATTTTAGTCATTTAACAGACACTCTTATCCAGAGCGACTTACAGTTAGTGAGTGGATTACATTATTTAATTTTTTCAGAGTCAGTAGAAAGGCCTCTTTAGTGTCCTAAGTTTTCATAACTGTGACCTTAATTGCCTACCGTCTGTAAACTGTTAGTGTCTTAACGACAGTTCCACAGGTGCATGTTCTTTAATTGTTTATGGTTCATTGAACAAGCATGGAAACAGTGTTTAAACCCTTTACAATGAAGATCTGTGAAGTTATTTGGATTTTTACGAATTATCTTTGAAAGACAGGGTCCTGAAAAAGGGACATTTCTTTTTTTGCTGAGTTTATTTATTTATATATTCTTAATTCCATTGCTTTACTTAGATTTGTGTGTATTGGGTATATGTTGTGAAATTGTTAGATATTACTTGTTAGATATTACTGCACTGTCGGAGCTATAAACACAAGCATTTCGCTACACCTGCTAAATACGTGTATGTGACCAATACATTTGATTTGATTTTGAATCTAAGTATAAATGTTTATCCATAAACCAATTCAAGTGAGACAGATACATACTGGGTGGAGGCTCATCCTCCTCATCCTCGTCTGAATCTTCATCCTTATAAAGCACTGGCCCGTCCGAATT